CCTTCAGTTGTCGCCTCCGACCGCCACCTTGGGTCGTCACACCGCCACCACTGGTCGCTTCCTGTCGCGGCCTCCAACTGCCGCTTCAGATTGCCACCTCTGACTACCACTTCCGGTCGCCAACTCCGACTGCTGCCTCCGGTCATCGCCTCCGGTCGCCGACTTCGACTGCCGCTTTCGATCGCCGACTCCAACCGCCGCTTCCGGTCGCCGCTTCTGGTCGCCAACTCCGACCGTCGCTTCCGGTCGCCACCTACAACCGCTTCCAGTCGCTGACTCCGACTGTTGCTTCAGGTGGCCGTCGCCTCCGATCGCCGCTTCCGGTCGTTGCCTCCGATCGCCGCCTTTGACCGCTGCCTCCGGTGACCAGTTAGCAGATATGTTCACAAAATCGCTTAAAGGACCTCGAATTGATTACATTTGTAACAAGTTTGGTGCATATGATATATATGCTCCGGCTTGAGGGGGAGTGTTACAGATATTGTGAATATATTACAGATATTGTGGATACATATATTATGGTTATTATCCTCACTATCAATTAGGGATATGATTAGATTAGTTTCCATAATATAAGAGATTAGTATCTCTATCATTTATTGTATTCACTCTATAAATAAGATTGGTGTGTGTACAACAATACACACAATTCCTGAATCACAACAGTCATCATATCATGAAATTCTCAAGCAGCAGCCATTTTTACATTGAATGATCGGCAACAAAAGAAGTAAAGAACTTCAATTATTATGCACTTAAAATAAGTTTAATCTAACAAAAGACCCTATAATACATGTCGTTTCTCATTGATTTCAGTCTCAATTTCTATTTTACTCCTGGCTGATATTCATAGAAAAACAAATGAGATCATGTAAAATTCTTCAAGGGCACAAAGGACAAAGCAAACAATGCCAAAAGGCTTAAATAATTTTTTGGACCCTACAAAATATGCATGTTTGTTTTGTTTGGATCCTCTAAAAACTTCTTTTGTTTGGGTCCCTATTAATATCTTTTTTCTTTGATTTTAGTCATCCCTATTAATTTATTTTTGTTTGATTTTAGCCCCTATCACATGATTTAAAACCCTAAAATCGTAAACATTTGATATAAGTCACTGTTGGAAAGCCATTTAATAGCAATCACCCTTTATCTTTCTTAGTTGCAACCTCTGTGGGGATGCCTCAATTGCAGCCTCAAGGGTGGTGTTTAATCCCACATCCATTGACTAGTGATATGGCTTAAATGGAGCTTATAAAACTTAGGCAATCATCACTTTATAAGCCGATTTTGTGGAGTTGAATCACCAAGTTCAAATTCTAAGATGACATTAAAGTCTATCCTAAATCCATTGTTGGATTATCTACATTGTCACACTCCAGGTCAGAAGCCCTAAGCATGAGAACGGTGTTGGAAACCCACCTTAAATCACCCCTAACCTGCCTAGTTGCGGCCTCTACTGGAGACGCTTAATTGCAACCTCAAGGGTGGTGTTTAGTTTCACCTCAACTAGAGATATGCCTTAAATGCATTAAATTAACACGAAAGGTAGAACCCACATATACTAAGACAGCTTTTCCATCACTTAATTATCCATGTCACTAAGTACAGAAATAAATTGAAGATTATCTAGGGATTTTCAGACTAAAATTTATGATGTCTGGGTTATTGTACTCATCATCATTCAAGAGCAACATAATTCAAAAGAGAATTTTGATTCAATAAATAAAAAATTATCGGAGAATGGTATTCACAATAATAGGGCAGTACTAAAGATAAATTAATAACATAATAGTTCATCAAAGTTGTCACCAAAGAAAAGTGTTAAATAATGGAAATTTTACATTTTGGATGAAAGATAGCGATTTTAGAAATAAATATTTACATATACCTTTAGCCAGTCATACATGGTGAGGGACGTAGTTGTGCATGACCAATCAAGTACACATCGTAATTCATAAAGAAATGGAAGAGCACGATAAAGTCTATATCCTAAATAGTTGATTCTCGAAACTTCACTGGTCAAAAATTGCCTATACAATGTGCTCTTGTGAGGAATGCCATATCGTATTTGTACAGCCTGCAGCCCTAGAGAAAATGTCTTTGCAAGAAATATGGCACGGAGAGCAAACTGAGCTGCGTGTTGTTGGGATGGCTCCAATTGCCAATCATACACTGTAACTGAATATGTGAAGAGAATGAGGTTGAAAATATAGAAAACCACTTTCCCCGTGGCAAATGAGCAGAGGTATATAATACGATCAAGCACAATCAAGAAGAAGATAGCCTGAACAGAAGAAGTAACTCTTATTAGGAATCTATATGACATGTCAACTCTAGCCAGCCACACATGTAAATGAAGAATACAATAAATCATCTGATCATTCTTAAAATTTGTATTCGACAAAGAGACTTGGATACCAATGACGAATTATAGTCACTCTCTTTCAAAGGGCTATAAATTTTAACCTCTACAAATAATGAAAAAGGAAAACAAAATCCAATGTTCCATTCCATTTGGAAAACCAAAGGAATCATAAATGAAACCCTTTCAAAGGTTCTGAAATCTGAACAATTCCTTGGCATTATAAATATCAAGAACAAACAATCACAAAAGTTTAAGCTATTCAGTGAAAAAACATGAACAAATTTATATCACGTGTTAGAAATCCCATATCAACTAATAATGAGGCCTTGTAGAGAACAATTCTCACCTTATAAACCGATTTTGTAAAGTTGAGTTAAGCTCTAAACTCACTTTCTTAATATAGTATCAGAGTCTATTCTAACAATTATTGATTATTATTGGGTTTATTAGGCTTATTAGGCAACACGTTATTAGACTACCAACAAATGTTCAGTTATGCAAACTTCATGCTTGAGATGTTTAATCCTTGGCATCAACTTGTGGAGAATTTAGACGAGAGAAGTTTAAAGTACATAAGGTGATTTTAACTTACTTATGGGAGAAGTTTAATGCATTTTACCTTCTTATTATCTTCTCTTATAAGTTCTTATGAAAAGACTTATCCAAACAGGCCATAATTTATTAATATACTATGAAAAAATCCTTCCTGACAGTTAAAATAACAGAAGAATTAATAAAAAGTAAAAGGTACAGACATACCATCAAGATAAACACATATTCTTTAGGAAATTGGTCTTCAAGCTGATACACATCGAGAAACTCACTTTTATTTTTTATGACAGACTGGTAGAAGATGGCAACAAGAAAGAATACAATCAGGTCCGCACAAAATATGTAGGCATACAGATCAATTTCTCTCTTGCCTCCACCAATTACAGAAAGAATACGGTAAGGGAATCCCACTTCTTCCACAAAACCATCACGTTGAGCTTTGAGGATTTCCTTGGCCACATCAGCTGCTGGAGTTAAAGAGTTATTCCATTCTGTGGAAGAGCAGTCAATTACAGGAGAGGCATACACAACCTCAAAAACAACCAAGGCAACATTGGGTTTCTCATGACTTCTTTCAATGCTTTGAACATTAACCCTGCTAGCAAAAGAGCAAAGATTTGCATTCATTTCCTTGCACTTATCATTATGGACAATTCTGAGCACTTGATTAATTCCAGATTCAATCCTCTCTGGTTGAATCCCATCCTCTGGCCAGAAGTTGACATCCATAGACACCTGAACAAAATAAGGAGGAGATTCTGCTCCCTGTGTGAGTGATTTCCAGTACCTAAAAAAGCTTTTGATTATCATTTTTACCATGTTAATCATCTGATTTAGCAGATCCCATGCTTTATCTTGCCAATTATAACTAGTGGGGTCATCTTTTGCATGGAAATCTTTCCTCTTAAACTTGAAGTCAGTAGAAGACATCCATTCACCATCTTTAGGTGTTATGGAGCTCTGAATGAGGGTAAACAAATACACAAGAAAGAGAGGTAATGAACTGACAACAAATGAAGATGTGATTTTGTGTGTTGGAAAACCTAATTCTCGTAACAGGCCAGGATCAATACTCAACCCACAGTGTTGGATGATAATTTGGTACAGGTACTGAAGTAAAATATAAAGTTCTGTATATATCAGAATGATGATCCAGAAGATGTAACTTGGGCCAGTATTTACACATAAAGCATACAAGAAGAGTGCCCCAAGATACACCATTGATAGCAAACTGAAATTCCATAAGAACACAAGAACAAAGCAACAGTAGCATACAACATCATTATTAGAACGCATCTGGTACCATACATAACGAAAAATCCTTCCCAACTGCAGACTTGCAGCATCAGAACTATTATCAGACTGCACGGATGAAGAACGATCCATATATGTATGCTGAGTTTTCTGACTCTCTATCTCATCATATATCCTATCCTCCATGTTTGTGTGTTCATTTGAATCAGAATCTTCTGGTGAAATATTCAGAAAACTCACTAGGTTATTGACTGCCTGATTTCCAATGGACTGTACCTGGGAAACACCATCACCGATTAATTGTACAGCAGACTTCAGAGGGTTTTCTTTTGCTTGCCCTTTAACTTTTTCCTTTTTTACAGAATCACTAGAAGAAGTTTCAATATCTATTTCAGTAATTTCACACAAAGGAGAACCCACTGAATGCTTCATGTACTCCTCTGTTAATGGAGTTTCCACATATGTACAGGCAGATGGTTCATGCAGTTCAGTATGAAAAATAGAATCCTCTCTTTTCGTATGATCTAGTCTCCCCAGAACCTGGTCTTCTTTATCAGGGATTCCAATATCATTATTTGATGTGAGTGAAACACTCCTTCTCCTTCTCAGACCCTCACTGCTGTGAGAAAATCCATCAATACAATTAGTGGATGTGTTCATGCCATGGAGTTGTATTTGCAGGTTAAGCATTTCAGATTTCATCTTCTCCACCTGCATGTTACGCTGACGTTTTTTCTCCTCACTTTCACGAATTTGTTGTAATTGTGCAGTTTTCCATGAAGCCTTTTTCTCTTGCTCACGCACAATAGCACCAATTTGCTCTGCTTCCAGGTAGCGACATACATAATCAAACTCTTGCGAGGAAAACATATATGACTGAAGTGATACCAGCACAAAAATGATAATCTCTACAATTGCAGATCTTGCTGTAATCCGAAAACCATAATCATATTTATAAAAACCAACCATTTCATAAATGCTATTTGCTGTTTCACATTTCCCAGCACTTGGTCCCCCAATAAAAGGAGACTGATAAGCAAGAGAAAAAATAATAACAGCAAAGTTGTATATGCGCAAGAATTTGAATATTTTGTTCTTCTTCTTCAGTATTTCAAGTCTCATGCGAAAGAATACCAGAGCAAAGGCAAGATAACCAAGATGCAGAATGTCATACTCAAGCGTTCCAGTAATCAATATTAATATCAGCACAAGATCTAGCAGATGGCAATAACAGTAAAGCCTCAAATAATCAAGAAAGGTCCACATGCTTTTAGTTTCAAAAGATAGATCTCGCCAAACAAATGTGTTCCTACGTTGAGACATAATTTGACGATATGTTGATGATCCTGAAAGGCTAGACAGGCGATCTGCACGAAGTTTGAAGCAAGCCAGCATGAATACCACAAAGTAGCTGATCAACATCCTGGGATCATCAACAATAATTCCTATAACAGAAAAGACAGTGAAATGAACAAGTTATTAAAGATTTCAATGTGAAAAATAATACATTAAAGGGTAAAATATGTATTTAGATCCTCTAAAACTCTTGAAATTTGGTTTTAGTCCCTCTAATTTGGAAATGCATCGCTTTTGGTTCTCAAAGTGATTTAGACGGCGGTTTATAACCATATTTAAGTACTATCTAAATCACTTTGAGGACCAAAGGTGTTGCTTTTTCAAATTAGATGAACCAAAATATTTCAAAAAAATTTAAAGGGACTGAAACCAAATTTCAAAAATTATAGTGGGACTAAACATTTTTTTCCTATATTAAATAATGGGTATTAACAATGAGTGCTCTAAGGACACTAGTTAGGGTATTTAATGCATTATATTAAATGTTTCAAATTATTTAAAACAATAATTTTAGCATTCTCCTAAAATAATACATGCATATTGAATCGACATTTCCCTTTGTGCCACAGAGATAGATGCTCCAGATAGGAAGAAAATGACTACTAGATATCTCAAGTATCTAAATAAAAGTAAAGAACCATGAACCAAATATTTACGCTGAAAGAAAATTTTCTAATGCCCTCACACACTTAAAGCATTAGAACCAAATATTAACAAAATGGGCATGGAATTCTTCCATTAAGATTATAGAGTGCAATTCTGAGAAGGATAAGAGAGTCCTACCAAGCCAACATTTTTTGCAATAATGGAAATGCAGAGTTGAAGTTTTCCAGCAGTCATGGCAACGAATCTCACTAGAAGCATGAGAATTCAAAGGTAACATATCCTTCCAGATGGCTAAATATTCCAGGATGAGAATCGAAGCAAACAAAAAGACAAATATGGACCAGACTTTGCGTATAATTTGCCGATTCAGAAGAATACAAGCAGCAAGCAGTGCAATATACAGCATGGATAATGCATTTAACAAGGCAAAGCTTACCAGTAGTAATGATATCATGTTTATCTCAAGTCCAAATAAATTAAATAAATTCTCCATCCAAAATTTCAAATATATTTTTAAGACAGTTTTTTGTGTTTCAAATCGCTCCTTTCTCAAAGCAACAATCCTCTTCTTGTTCCACTTGTGACTCTCCTTGGAACTTCCCCAGATAAACCCAAATGAATATTTTTTACTGCTACTGTCAGAACCTCTTGTTTTAAAGGACGGAGTATCAGGTGCTTGAGAAGGACCAGAGGTAACAATTTGCAGTGACTTGCTTGACACCACTTCTTTTATTGCAGATGGTGGATCTGAATTATATGATGGTTTACTTTCCTCATTGCACATATCAACATTAATGAATGCATCTTCTGTGGGAACAAACAATGGACAAGGTTCTTCCCACTCTCCATTGCTTAGAACTGTATTTGGCATCCTCTCCAGCCAACGGAAGACATTGTATTGAAGAGTACAAGCCACAATCACCAGCACTTTTCCCCTCAATCCAGATTCTAGACCCCAAAAGCCAGGCTGGAATTCATGGAAGCCCAAAAAGAGAGAGATATCAGAATACTTCTGCCCGGGAAACATTTTAGCCTGCTTACCCCACATCTGAAAAAGATACTCAGCTGCCACCAGAAAACCAGTGTATACCAAGGATGATTTGGATGGGATACTAGAATTTTTTGGTAAAATGGAGCAGAAGGCAAGACCAATCAGATACAAGAAACCAAATGCACTAATTGGGTTCAAAGATGCATAAAACAGAGCAATGAACAAGATCTTCTGGCTGTGCCAGATAAAAAATCGCCTGATAAACCCAAGTGCCCCTGGTTCTAACTGATCCAAGTGGTCCTGCCTGTTCTGCTTGCTCTGTCTTCTCTCATAGCTATAAAGTTGCATAACAATTAAGACTGCCAAAGATTCCCAAACATTGTCAAAAGAAGATGCTTTTGAGTCATATCCCAGATAAAAGTAGAGATCAATTAATTTGGACAACCACATCTCTAGGCTTGAAAAGCTGCTCAAGCTATATATGAAGATAAACACCAAAATTGCATATACTTTCAATGGAAGCCAAAGCTGTCTTTTTGTTCTCTCAACAAGTTGTCTTCCAATAATCCAAAGAAGGAGAAGGAATACGTAACCAAATGATATGTAATTCGGTCTCACCATGTATACCGTGAGAAGAATAGTCAGAAAAGCAATGTAGGTGCCAAATGAACGGTATATAGATAGGAACTTCTGCCCAATTGTACTCAGGTATGATGCTATTCTTCTTTCTGTAAAAAAAATACAAGGATGAAAAAACATGGATCACAATCAATAATACAGCAGCTGCAGAAATAATTGCTGTACAAAGACTTGGTTTCTCTAGACTTGATTTTCAACAAATAGTAGGAGTATATATGGTTTGCATTTAAAACGTCCTAACAAGAGTTGCCTTATCAAAACATTTTCATCATCCAAGCAGAGCCTGAGAGGCAGCATATGAATCCTAGAGAATAACTGATGTCACTTATATGCTCAACAATTTTCTGCTATACATTTCGAGAAACAATGCAAACTAACACCAAATTAATATCATTACACATACATGTATTATACACTATGTATAGAAAATATTAAATGTAATTCAGAAGCTCTAAATGTTTTTTAAATGTACCATAAGATAAACTTTCATTGCTGTTTCTCACAGTGGAGGAAGCATATACAGACAATAGAACGGATTTGTTAAGACCAGCTTTCAAGATGCTAAATCCAACAGGAGGGCTAGGGGCATGCTGTACGATAGCTGAAAATGAAAATAACATCTCAAAACCATGGTTATGAATTGCACAAAAGCAAGCAAGTAAAGCTACTTCCAAGAAATCCCAGGCACTATCTTCTTCACAGAGACCTGAAACAATTCATAGAACATGTAGTGAATTTCCCGTCTCCTTGTCACTTAATAAGTGGGAAATCACATGGATATGGAATTGATATAATTTCAGAAGTATAAACCATCTAAAATCCATTTACATACCTAATTGCATTACAACTTCCATGCTTACAGAGCCTTTTTTCTCCAGTGCAGTTGAGATCAAATTAATTTGAAGAACATACAACAGTGAAAAATGAATCTCGCATAGGAGAATCAAAGCCTGTCTTATCTTTCTACTGACATCGTGGCTCAAAAGATACATCAAGAAGAAAATCACTGAAGACAGAATAGAAGCTAATCAATAAACTACACTTCAATTAATGGCTCACAAGAAACAAGGTGCCATGGTAAATGACCATGAATCAATTAAATGGATTAAATGCAAAATGAACATATAAGGATTTGATAAAACATACTATATACAGCATGGATGAAACCAGGTTTTATAGCAATGAGAAAGATCAATGACAGCATGATAGCCCGAGAGCATTTGCGTAGTCCCCATGCTATTGTTGCCACAATCAATACCTTAGTTTCTCCCTCTGCTTTAAGAAAGATATGATGATATAAGAGAAAAAAGAAATTTAGTCAGTAAAATAGGAAAAAAAAAAGGTTCTATTTAATAAAAAACAAATCAATGGTAAATACACAATTTTCTGTGTAGTTCCATAAGAGCTCTGCAAAGTGCAAAAGATTAATTAAAAATGATGCAGACATACATAAAAAATTGTTTCAAATTTTGGTAGGTGGAAGCAAATCATAAGCCATACGAAACACATTTTGAAGTCAGGTTATTCTATATACCCAATCTCCTTCCCAATATCATACCCAAAAATTTTGGGTGAAAAAGAATAGAATAAAGAAAATATGATACTCTAAGAGAAAGATAGGAGGGTAGAGTAAGCTGAAAACATTTCCAAGGATATTAAGGTTCCAATGCTACATGGAACTAATTACTTATAAGTAATATGTTAATGCCATGTTGCCAACAATAAGAGAAAAATATGAAAGGGACCGACAAGGAATGAAAATGTCAAAAAGAAGAGCAAAAGGTGGAGAATGAAAATAATGAAGCATCAATGGTACCAATGTGAGTAAACAAATTCGATTGCTACCATAGAAAATTGACAAATAATTTTTTTAAAATAAGCAAAAATTTGGCCATCCCAAATGATTCCCAGAGGAGTTAAATGTGAAAAAATAAAAAGGGTATGACTGCATTGTATATGGCCATATAAAATATAGTCACAAATAAAAAGGGTATTATTGCATGTGGCAGTACATAACTCTAAATTAAAGAGGTTTGTTAGTTTTCATGAAACATGTATGACAAGATTGTCATTGATTACCTTTTGCTGAGGAATAGTCATTTGAGGATTGCCCACCCTCGTCAGACAAGCAGAGGAAAACTGAATTGTTCACAAGATTACCTAACGCAACCAAAATTCCAAGACAAAATTGTGCAAGCAAAAAAAAACCAGGTATTGGATAGTGCCATAGTCCCACCATCTCCCAGATTTTCATGTCCTGTAAACAAGTATGAAAATATTTGCAATTATTCAAATATACACTTATCAGTTATAACAATTGTCACCCTAAAAAATTACCCGTCCAAGTTTCCAATTCAGAAATGTAAATGCCACATTAAATATATAGGTGCTAACAGCCCAGAAGAGAATGAAGACAAGAAGCAGCCCATTCAACCGGTGAAGACGAAACAAGGAAGGAAAGGCATAGACAACATATCCGACATAAGCAAGTAGTCCAAATGCACATAAGCTTGCAAAATGGAAGCTCCAAAAGGAAAGGACAAACAAGGAAACCTGCAAAATAAAATGACCTGGGAAATCAATAAACTAATAATTTGGTATTAAGTGCATGTATAGGCTGAATGTAATAGTTATACTAAAAATGGGAAATTTTGTTCCTATAAACATGATATGATAGCCTATAAATTAAGTCTGTTGAAAGTAAAGTGCAGAGGCATAAAAGATGAGCCGAAATTGTGTTTTACCACACCACAGGATAGGTTTATAATATATGTATGCTCAATTCATTCAATACACATGATTAAGGAATATTGTTTCCCCTAAATGATATTATGCATAATTACTAAATATCATGGTATTATTTACAACACTCCCCCTCAAGCTAGGGTGTATAAATCATATGCACCTAGCTTGTTACATATATATCTAATCCTTGGACCCCTCAAAACTTTGGTGAATACATTTGTTAGTTGGTCACTAGAGTGGATAGAGGTAGTAGAGATATCTCTAGACTCAATCTTCTATATTACAAAGTGGCAGTCTACCTCTATGCTTGGCCCTCTCATGAAAGATAGGTTCAGATATAATATGTAAGGGTGCTAGATTATCACATTTCAATGTCATTTGCATAGAGTCTTCAAATTTGAGTTCGCTAAGCAGATGCTTCAGCCATATATAAGCTCACATGTCACTAAAGTGACAGCCTTGCATTTTGCCTTAGCACTAGATCTTGCCACAACATTTTGCTTCTTAATCTTCCAAGATATCAAATTTCCTCCAATCAACATACAAGATCCAAGTGTTGATCATCTATCATTGAGTGAACCAGGATAATTGACATCAGAATAACCAACTATTTAGCATGTTCTCTATCTTCTTAGATGAGGCATTTTCCTGGAGCACTCTTAATATATTTAGATATCCCACAACATCCTAGTGATCCTAACATGGGGGAATTCAAAAATTGGCTTACCACACTGCAAAGGCAATATTTGGATGAGTGACTATGAGATAATTTAGCTTTCCAACTAACCTTATGTATCTCCTAGGATTTAATAAGGGCCCCCCTGATTGGTAGAAGTTTGGTATCAAAATCCATAGAAGTATCTACTGGCTTAGCATTTAATAGGCCCATTTCTTCAAGGATGTCAAGAGCATGTCTCCTCTGAGAGATTACAAGACCATCTTTGAATTGAGAACTTCAATACCCAAGAAATTCAAAAGTTTACTGAGGCCTTTAGTCTAGAACTTCTTAGAGAGGTGTTGTTTAGGTGAATAATGCCATGATGATCATTGCATATATTATAAAAATATCATCCACATATTCAATGAGGTAGTACATCCTTGAGGTGAATGTCCATAGAAGAGAGAGTGGTCAACTTCACTATGAATCATACCAAATTGTTGCACAACAGTACAAAACCTTCTAAGCCAAGCAAAAGGAGATTATTTAAGTCTATTTAGGGACTTGTGAAGATGAGACACCATGGTAGAGGACACTTCCTAAGCAACAAAACCAAGCAGTTGCTCCATGTATACTTCTCCATCAAGATTGCCATGTAGGAGGTGCAATACAATTGAACCTATACTAGACGATTCTAATGATACTAGTTAAGAGGCCATGTTAGACTCATCCACAATGCCAACTCCTTTACTAGATTTGGGCCTACCATATGATATTGACCAACCCACTACTCTTAGAAAAGGTACCAGGTCCACTCGCAATCCATCTCCTCATTATATTGCCTTAAGTTATCATAGTCTTTCCCCTTTGCATTATACTTGGTTGAAATGCGAAAAAGGTGGAAGATGTGAACATCATTGTTGGAACCATGGGTGACCGAAGAACAGTGTTGTTAAATGGCAGTTACTCTTGTGAAAGTGCTTAGGCTTGTAGATAGTGAGAAAAAACTAGCCATGGGCTACATATATGAGGCAATGGACAAGGCGAAGGAAAGGAAACCGTTATGAAATCTTTTAAAAATGAAAGCAAATACAAGGATGTGTTTGCAATCATTGATAAAAGATGGGATGTTCAGCTTCATCTCCCTTTACATGCTATTGGTCACTTTTTGAACCCGGAGTTCTTTTATGCCAACCAACAAATGGAGTTTAATTGTGAGATTATTAGGGGTTTGTATGATTGTATCAATAAATTTATGGGAGATTTGGAGATGGAGAAGATTGTTCATAAGGAGTTGGCTCACTATAAAGTTGCAAGTGGTATGTTTGGGTCCATAACTGCTATAGCAATGAGGGGTGAAGTTGCACCATGTAAGAGACAAAACATTACAACTTCTGAACTTTTATTCTTTAAGTCATTTGCTTAAGTGTCTGTGTTTAACATATTTGTTTGCATTTGTAGCTCAATGGTGGTGGATGTATGGTTTAGATACTCCCTATTTGCAACAACTTGCAATAAGGATCCTTAGCTTGACATGTAGTGCTTCGAGTTGTGAACATAATTGGAGCGTCTTTGAACAAGTAATTAATTTCCTATTTAAAGTCAACAATCAATGTCTTGCTTATTATTCCTTAAGTAATGAGCTTTTATTTAATTGTTTTAGGTTCATACTAAGAGATGGAATAGACTCGAGAAAAAAAGACTACATGACTTGGTATTTGTCAAGTATAATCAAGCACTCCATCAAGGTATAACCTTAAGGATGAAATTGATCCAATTAGTCTCAATGGGATTGATGACTACGATGAGTGGCTAATTGAAGAGATGGATGGGGAAGAAGGTGAAGATGAGAGGGTTCATGAAGGAGATGATGACCTTAATTGGAGACAAGTTTATCAAGCTTCGGGACTTGATGAGCCTAGACAATACACTAGGCGTCACAAAAGGAGAGGAGCAAGTAGGAACATCTACTAATCCTTCTAAAAGAGCCAAATGAGTAGCTTCAAAGAACAAGGGGAAAAGGGTTGAAGAAGTTGAGGCATCAAAAGATTCTAGTTGTAAGGAGGAGGAATTAGTGCCAAATGCTAATTTCATACATTCAGATGGAGAAGAAGCTGAAGGATTTTTAAATAAGTAACATCATCATGTGGAAATTAATTATGTAGACATTGATGAGGATGAGGAGGATTAAACAAAATAGTTTTAGGAATTGTCATTGTGCTTTGCTGTTTTTTAACTTTGTTTCTTTGTTTTGATGGCTATTTAATCCTTTTATTGGTTAGGAATTTGTCTTTTTATGATGACTATCACTAGATTATGAATGCCATGAATTTTAGATGGTTATATTGTTGGTTTTAATGTGTTACTTTTCTGTTTTTGCATCATTTTTTTTTTGTCAGCCATGATGTCTGCCATAGACCGCCACATCGTCCGCTATGGCAATATGACACTTGAAGGTCCTTGTCACCATCCGCCATATTACCTTACTGACAACCTTGCCGAGGAATCTAATCACGACTCACGAGTACTGTTGTAAATATCATAGATAATTAAAAGATCTAGAATATTTCTAAATATCCTTAGATATTTGTTTCCCTATTTCTTTATCATTGTTATTTCCTTATTTAAGCATAGTCATTTACTCTATAAATAGAGATATTAGAGAATGTACAAAATACACAAAATATCTTTTTCAAACTTGGTATCAAAGCTCCCGATCTTGGGAGTTCTATTTTAGCTACTCAATATTGATGTATTTTTCACCACTCAATACCAGTGTATTTTTTGTTACTCAATACTGGTGTATTGTTCATCACTATAATTGCCTACAACACTAAGAGCTATCGAACCAGGAGGTGCAACTTTCCTTTGCCCATTAGACATAAAAAAATAAAATAAAAAAAGGTTGTTTGCATGTCACTGTGCACTGTTCACGCAGTACTGTTCACCAGAATATTTTAACTTTCATTAAGGAGAAAGTAAATCATTTCCAAATCCTCCTTGATTCCATGAGTAAGTCATCCAGTTCTTGTGTCTTGACCATGAAGGGTAAGAGTTCCTTTAATAATTCTAGTTCTGTTCCTCAAAGCATGTGGGTTCTTGATTCTGGAGCAACAGACCATTCCATCCCTACACACTTTACAACATACATCAGAGCATCTGACAAACAACTTATTACAGTTGCTTATGGAGATCATGTTCCTATTGTTGGATTAGGCAACATCCAACTTCAATCATCTCTATCCCTACACAATATTCTTCATGTCCCTAAATTAGCTAATAATCTCATTTCTAGACATCGTCTTACTCAAGATTTAAATTGCTCAGTAATTTTTTTTCATTCTCATTGTATCTTTCAAAACCTTGCCTCGAGAAAGACAATTTTAATTGCTAAAGAGCAGGATGAGTTGTATTTTTTGCAACATGAAATAGATGACAATATCAGAAGAAAAAAAATGAGATGTCTTTCAGACACCAAGCAACATCAAAAACTTGGGCTGCTTCACAAATTTGGCTTCATCACAAGAGTCTTAGGCATCCTCCATTTGGTTTACTTAAATCTCTATTACCACATTTGTTTATAAACGTGTTTGTTGAGTCTTTTAATTGTGATATTTGCCAAGTTTATAAGCATCATTGTGCATCCTTTTTGCCTAGTAATAATAAAAGTGTTTCTCATTTTGATCTTGTCCATTCTGATGTATAGGGACTTGTTGAATCTGTTTTGGGGGCTAAGTGGTTTTGTAACTTTCATCAATGATTGTACCCATTTGACATGTACTTGCCTCATAAAGCACAAATATGAAATTTGTTAAATATTTGTCAATTTTTTCCGCCTTGTCAAAAATCAATTTGGTAAGTTTATCAAGAATTTGGTCAGAAAATGGAACTAAATATGTTAATCTTGAATTTTCTAAGTTTGTTATAGAGCAAAGTATTATCCATGAATTAACATGCATTAATACTTCCTAACAAAATGGGGTCACAAAAAGAAAGAATCGTCACCTACTTGAGCTTGTCAGAGCTATACTCTTTCAAATGTTTGTCCCTAATGTCTATCGGGGAGAAGTTGTCCTAGCTGCCACTTATCCCATTAACAAGTTACCCACTCGTGTCTTACAGGGTATTAGTCCAGGTGAACACATGTTGTCATTTTCTCTTCTACCCTACTATTAAGTCTCCCACGTGGTGTGTTTGGGTATGTTGCATTTTTTCATTCTCACAATCCCCTCATCGTGGCAAGTTAGACCCAAGAGTTGTCAAATGTGTCTTTATTGGTTACCCCTCTAATAAAAAGGGGTACAAGCATTATCACCATCGGAGTTGCCATTTTTTTGTTTCAAATTTAGGATTTCGGGTTTAGGGTACATTTCATAAAATTGTACCCTTCTTTATCCACCCTTCAGGAGAGAGTATTCTAGAAGTTGAGTTTGTCTTTGGATCATTACCTCTTCCTTCCTTGCAAGATGTCCAAGACACTAATCTTGAAGAAGCACAAGAAGATCACAATGAAGAAACAAAGCAATATCACAATGATGTAGAGGAAAAATATTGATTCTTTGGAGAAAAAAAATATGAAAGGCAAAAGAAACCCACTCTACTCCACAACAATTTGAATTGTCAAAACCAGAGGTAAATGTCCCTAATGATGATGAGAAAGTTACAGACAACAATTCAACTATCATCATTGCTCATAACCCAGTTCAACATGACAGAACAAAACAGAGATTGATAGACACTTCATCAAAGAGAAGTTAGATGGTGGCCTTATAATTACAGCTCATATACCTACAGGAATTCAAGTGGCAAATGTCTTCACAAAGGGACTTCCTAGTGCTAGATTCCAAGATCTTATTGGCAATGTGGGAATGATTGAGATTTCATTTATCAACTTGAGAGAGTGTTGTAAATATCATAGATAATTAGAAGATCTAGAATATCTCTAAATATCTTTAGATATTTGTTTCACTATTTCTTTATTATTGTTATTACCTTATTTAAGCATAGTCATTTACTCTATAAATAGGGATATTACAGAATATACACAATTAATATATAGTTTCTTTTTCCAACTAGTAGCAACATACTCTAGAGGCAAACCATACAAAATAAGAACCATGAAGAAAACATTGTGGTTCCCTAGTTCTTTCTTAGCCTCAATAGGATGGAGGCAGAGGGTCATAATAATTCATTAAACTCATGGAGGGCAACATGAACCTGACCAAGATAAGTAGTCATACGACCATTAAACTGCTGAGGAGCAATGAGGGTCATCAATTCATTGCAAACTGCATAAAGGCGCTTGGTGTTATTAGTATAAAGAGTGGGTGTCGCTTTTCAAATCGATTCACAAATGAAATGAGGTCGAAAAATCAATTTGATGGAGGGGTGGAGAGTGGACTTAATAACACTGCGTATTTGGGCATCAATTTTCGCCAAGCATGCCTGATCAACTCCAACAACATATTCAACTATACTTGTGAGGTGATCTAGGTACCCTAAACCACTAAGCCACAGAGTGATGTCAGAAGCCCATGCAGAATAATTAGATCCATCCAATTTCTTAGTAGATAGCGAAAAGTGAGAGAATATTGTAGCACTAGGCATAGGAGGATTTGAAGAGCCCATGGCAGCCATGATTAGTTTTTAAAATAAAAAAGGAAGATAGATGTGTCCGAAAGAGGTACTGGAAGCATGGCATACGGGAGTGCTTGCAAATCAAAGTTGTTTGATCAAGGCGAGTGGCAAATTTGAGGTCACCGAAGGAAGGCAAGCTAGGCAAAGTAAGAACCACATTGAATGGTGGCACACGCATTGTCACTCATAGGAAATGTTGAGCATAGGGGTTATTTGGCTTCCTGTAGAAACACGTGTGCAAGCATGAGTGGTCCTTCAAGCTCAGCATTTGCATGACATTGTAGATCAGAAAACCATGAGATCTGATGGTGGTGGTGGTAGTGGTTGTCGGAGATGCAACAATGGTGGCCAAAAAAGTTGCCAAAAAACCCCGCTAGTAAATTGTTGGTATAAGAGTAAACAACAAAATAAGGAGAGACAAACTGGATATTGAACACAGTTCACCAAAAAATTTAGGTCATCGAAGGTAGTGGGTCCATCGAGTAGATATGATTAAAAATTATACCTTTGTTAGGCTCTAGATATCATGTTGAAAGTTGAAAGTAAAGAGCAGAGGCATAAGAGATGTGTAGGAAGCATGTGTTTTAATACGGCACGAGATAAGTTTATATATATGCTCAATTCATTCAATACACATGATTAGGGAATATTTTGTTTCCCCTAAATAAGATATTATGCATAATTACAAAATATCACAATATTATTCACAACAAAATCATTACATTAATTACAAAGATCCCTATTAGATTTCCAACTGTATTTTATATAAAGTTGTTGATAATGTAAAAGTTGCTATAACTTAAATTGATGTAATTTGATCTCTCCTCACACACATATACATACTGAAATAATATATATAAAAAAAAAAAAGTTATGTTGTAATTAGGTGCCTTATAGTATTGTGTTTAACTTAGATGAATGATTTTGTTAGTAATTCATAACTTATTTGATATTTAAATGAATGTTCTTTATTTATAATGGAATTTATGTTTTATTAGATCATGAAAAAAAAAAGGTTAGGTAAAATCATATTCTAGATAACTAAAATGCAAGTAATGAGAAAACACATGGGGATCTAGGTACCTAAAGGGTATAGGGATGAGGATTAGCGATTAAAGTTGTTACCCATGCAAGTATACCCTAGATCCACCAATTGTTATCCCCAATACCAAACAAGATTATATATATATATATATATATATATATGAGGAGGGATACACTTACTCCAAAAGTTTACTTATACTTCACCCAATAACTCATGTTATACATCAAATTTCAACAATCTAACCATTGAATTAAAAGTTCTTAATACATAAAACAAGTCTGCAAATTTTAAAAAATTTAAAAACTATTTGATACTCCGTTTCATTAATTCAAATCAACATATAAAATGTTTTTATGATTCGTCAATTTGAATTAATAAAACAAATTATCAAGTAATTTTCAATTTTTTAAAAAAATTGCATACTTAATATATTCATTAAGAATTCTTAATTTAACGGTTGGATCGTTAAAATTGAATGTAGAACATGAGTTATTGAATAGAGTAAATTTAAGTAAACTTATTCTTAGAATAAGTGGATTCCTCCTCTCTCTCTCACACTCTCTCTCTCTCTATATATATATATGTAGAGAGAGAGAGAGATATATATATAGAGAGAGAGAGAGAGTCATGGCTCTAGGATCATTCATTATTGATAACAGAAAGCAGATTATAATATGTTTTAGGAATATATACCGGGAAACCATACGTGAAAAAATTGATACTAAAAGTCCGAAAAACAGCTCCTCGAAGTAAAACATTTGTGTGCCTCACACCAGATCTGCACATTTAATTAAGGTACTTAGCAGGACTTAAAGCCAAAATCACATTCCCTAAAGAAAATATCTAGAAACAAAAGCTGAAGCTGCATATGTAAAGTAAAAGTATAATTCAATCATAATAAGAAAAATTGAAACATAAATTATCAATAGCCATAATTCTTTCAACCTCATCTTTTGCAATGTTATTCTCAAAAATAAAAACTTCCTAATAGAAATTGAAAACACAATTCAACCAAATAGTGTATAAAACATCGCCCATATTGAATACTTAAAAACAAATAGAGTCATGTCATAGAGTATATGAGTTAATTACACCAAGGTTAAACTCACAAATGCATTTGGTGTTTCTTTTTATGTCCACGGTCAATTACTTTTCACTAGGGACAACAAAACCTTATCCCACTAGGTAACGTTAACTACATGGATCACATGACGTCATTAGGATCAATCCTTAGAGACATTATTCACCATAAGATCCCGCTTAACAACTTCCTTCAATGTCCTTCTCGATCTTTCTAAACCCTGTTTTCATAGGACTAAAAACCATGCAATCAACTCTCCTTAGTAGTGGTTATTGAGGCCTTCTTTGTACATGCCAAAACCACCTTAACCAATTTTGTCATGCTTTACTCAATCAGTGTCACACTAATAACTCCTATATGAAATTATTTCATATCATGTCCTTTCTTGTGTGGCTACACATCCATCTTAACATTCTTATTTCTACTACTTTCATATTTATCTTCCATTTAAAGCCTAACATTCATTGCCATAAAGTATATTTGAATGTATAATATGATGATAAACCATCAATTTGAGTTTGTTAGGCTATTCGCAATCATAAATAATCCCTAATGCCTTCCTCCATTTTAACCATCCTCTTGGTATCATGTGTGATATTCTCATTAATTCCTCCATCATTTTATAATATCGATCCAAAATATTTAAACTAAGGTTGTGGTGTGACATCTCTCATTCTTACTTCCAAGTTATTTTCCTCGTCTCTAGCTAAAATTGCGAAGCATACATTATTATATCTTACTCTTACTTAAACAAAAACCTTTTGTTTCCAAAGTCTATTCAAATTTCAAGTTTAGAGTTAATCGTTTCCCTTGATTCCTCATCAAAACTATATCATCTACAAAAAAAAATACAATTACGAATAATCTTTCATATGTCCACAATTAGTACATCCTAGACTAGATTAAACAAGGATTAAGCCTAAGCTTTGATGTAATTCTATCGCAATAGGAAAATCCTTAATTTTGCCCCCTAGAATTCTCACAATAGTAATTATCCTATCATACTAGTCTTGTATAGCCTGGACATAAGTCAGGCAAACACCTTTCTTTACCAAAGTCTTTTCCGATGGAATGAAAATTTTCCTCCATTCAATCACAATTACACTAACGTGTTTTCCAAAGCAAGTCATAAAAGTAGATTTTCATTTCATTACCTTGATTCACGAATGAAAAATGAATGCTTAGAGGGAAGAAGTTGCTCAGTCAAGCTACAATCTGTCCTGGAAATAATAAAACCCATCTCCTCCAAATCAGATTTAATAAAAGATAGCTGCATCACAAGAAAGGAATAATTATAAGTCAAAACAGTGTAGGTCACAGAAAGAATAAAGTGCATTAGTGAGAACACAAATAATAAGGAAAAAAGAACTTCCCTGTCACATCATTTTATTTTGTATAAAATAGATGTTAGTTGTTCTCCATGTCAAAAAAGAATGGCAATAATTCAAATGGATAAATCTTTTAGAAGCATGGTTTCTATTGGATTATTGGTTGATAGTTGTTTCATTTTATTAATACATCTATGGTATCATATCTGTTCCAAGTCTGGGTAAATGAGAAGGGTTGTGTTAGGCTCTCAGCAACCAACGTAAAACTCATTGATATACCTTATAAGGATCACTCACAATAGATTAAGTGTGCTAATGTTAGGTCATTACCCAAGTAAAGTGTTGTATAAATCAAGTACAATGTCAAATGAGTTAGTCGCTGTGTCAGAACCCAAATGTAATGTTAAATGAGCAAAGGTCCTCACATTATCTTAGACAGATGTGGGTAAAGAAGCTAGTTCATATGTGCATCATTAGGTCTGTTACTTGGAATGTTGGTACTTGGACAGGACAGGTAAATCTACGGAGGTGGTGAATATCATGATTCGGAAGAGGATTAACATTGTGTGCCTAGAAGATACCAAATGGGTTGGGGGGAAAAGCTAAGAAACTAGACACTAAAAGATTTGAAGTTTGTTACACAAAAAAAAGTTAAAGAGGAGAATGGTATGTGTATTATTGTGGAAAAGGATTGAAAGAAACTGTTACAGATTTAAAAAGAACTGAGGACAAAACTTTAGCCTTGAAGTTAAAGGTTGTGCCAGAGACCACCAATATCATAATGCTTATGTAACACAAGTAGAATCACAAGCACATGTGAAAGAAAAATTTTAGAAAGATGTGGAGGAGTTGGTTCAAGGCATTCCATATGATGAAAACATTCTCCTGAGCAGGGATCTAAATGGACATGTTGGTAGTGGGGCAAGCAATTTACAAAAGTTCACGGTGGTTTTGGTTTTGGAGAATTAAATACAATCTATTCTTGAGTTCTCTATAGCTTATGATTTCAGGATTATAATCATTTGTTCTAGGAAGCAAGAGGAACATCTAATAACTTACAAGAGTGGAGCTCAAGGTCATAAAATGATTTCTTTTTGGTAAGTGTTGATAGGAATGTTTACGAGGATTGCAAAGTGATTTTAAGAGTCTTACTACACAACATAAGCTATTGATTCTTGACGTTCGATACAAAAGGTATAAACAAAAAACTTGACAAGATATCTAAGAAGATTACAAAGTAATGCAAACCTCAGCTGGGATAAGATATCTAAGAAGATTAGCAAGGTTTCCAAAGCAATCCTGGGTGAATCAATTTGTTTCCAGAGATGAGAAATCTTGGTGGTGAAGAAGTGTTCAAGACAACAGAAGAAACAAAATGTTTTAAAGCCTTACGTAGGTGAAATGATGCTAAAAATTGGCAAGGTTTCAAAATGCTAAAGATAAGACAAGGAGAGTTGAGTGAAAAACAATCTAAAGCTTTTGAATCGTTTTACAAAAATCTCAAGACAATAAATGAAGAACATAAGATATATAGTGGAAGCAAAATTGAGGGAAGAACCAAGGACTGCAATGATGGCAACAATGGTGGTTTTGGGATTGGAGTACTGCAATCAACCCAACACAGAAGCACAATATGGTACAGGATCTAGTTATTCATCAGCTGCAACTATGTGTTGTAGTGCAGTTCACAAGGGAGCCATGGGATCTTAATCTAATTACATAACATTTGATGCTCACCAAAAAAACCATAGAAACAAAGCACTAGCCCTCTATTTGTTTGCTTAGAAATGGAGTGCAAGAAAATAAAAAGAAGAGAGATGGAATAGAAATATCAAATTCCCACTATTTGAAAAGAGAAATAGGCAGAAAGTTATTTGTGACTTGAATATTGAGAGTTACAGTTTTGGGGAAAAAATCAGTGTGTTGAGTTTTCTACACTGATCTGTGTGTGTGTGTATATATATATATATATATATATATCAAGCTGATCTGAGCAAGATTTACACACAGTGACACAAGAAAAAAGAGTCAACAGTCTAGTACACCTACATAAGGTAAATAGATACAACAAAAAGCAGCTTTTCTTACAGTCAACAATGTTGGTAGTCTAGAAACTGCCTTAATATATATGATCTGAACTTCATAGAGGGTATCTATACTATTGTAAACTAATAAAGCATGTCCACAGACAAAAACTTCCTTGTGTTTGCCATATGATTGCATATATATAAATGCAAATACAAAAGAAAAGACTGAAAAAGGCTAAGAGCCTAAGCCTTCACATCAGCATCAAAAAACAAAAGATTAAAAAATAAAGAAGCTTCCTTAGCAAGCTATTCCAACACTCCCCCTCAAACTAGAGAATAAAGATTGTATGCACGAAATTTGGAACATAAAAACTGAATTCAAGGTCCCCTCCATGACTTAGGGTGTGTTTATTTTGCAGTTACATTCAACATAACTGAAGCAACACACCACTTGCTTTGGTTTCTTTACATTGGAAAGTGGAAAAAGTCCACTCAACGAGTGTTGAACGATTTTCCAAATACACACTTAGTCATAACATTTGCAAGTTGTTCACTAGAGGTGACAAATTTAGTCGCAATTTCCTTAGACAGCAGCTTCTCTCTACGGTCAACCTTTATATGTTTAGTTCTCTCATGAAATAATGGATTGGAAGCAATGTGAAATGCAACCTGATTATCACAATACAATTTCATTGGATGAACTACACAGAATTTTAATTCTTGAAGAAGTTGCTTAATCCATACAAGTTCACAAGTAATCAAAGCCATAGCTCAATATTTAGCTTCAGCATTGGATAGGGCAACATTCTCTTTCTTGCTCTTCCAAGAGATAAGATTTGCACCTAGGAATACACGGTATCCAGTAGTAGAACATCAGTCTATTGGACAACCTGCCCAATCAGCATCACAATATCCAAAAATTTGGCTATCTTCTTTGTCCTCTTACAACAATCCTCGTCCTGGAGCCTTTTTAATATATATAAGAATGCATAAAACAACATTCCAATGATCAATGAGGGGCCTACATGAATTGACTAATATTCCCTAGTGCAAAAGAAAGATCTAGTCTTGTGATTGTAAGATAAATGAGCTTCCCAACCAATCTCTTATACCTCTCTAGGTCTGTGAATGGTTACCTTGACCAGCCATCAAATTTTGGTTAGGATCCATAGGACTATCAATGGGCCTACAATCAACCATGCCTGTTTCATCCAAGATATCAATAGCATACTTCCTTTGCGAAATCACAATGCCTTCCTTTGATTGGGCAATCTCAATACCCAAAAAATATTTTAGATGTCCAAGGTCTTTGATTTGAAAATGACTAAACAAATGTTTCTTCAACTGAGAGAATGTGTCTACATCGTTCGCTATAATCAATGTATCATTAACATAAATAATCAAATAAACACATCTCCTAGGTGGAAATATGGCAATAGACAATTGAGTGGTCTGCTTTACTTCTTTTCAGCCCAAAGTCCAACACAACACGACTAAATTTTCCAAACCAAGCCCGAGGAGATTGTTTGAGACCATAAAGGGACCTTCACAATTTGCAAACTAAACCAAACTCCGCCTAAGCAATAAATCCAAAAGGTTGCTCCATGTAAATCTCCTACTCAACTCACCATGAAAAAAGGCATTTGTAATGTCTAATTGGTGGAAAAGCCAATAGCAAATAGCTGTCATAGCAAGAAAGAGATGAACAGTAGGAATTTTGACCACGAGAGTAACCATATCATGATTGGTTTGTTTAAGTGAGCTAATTTTTGGGCAGCGTCATATAGCCATTAAATGTCATTAGCATAGATACTTTGAGCCTTCTTCCAAAAAGAGCAACAAGTTTTAAAGGCCCTAAGCATTCCCAATATATTAGGTTCTACACATTGCCACAAAACAACACATAACTGGAAATCATGTTTCTTCCATTGAGCCTTACTCTCTGTTGACCCCTCAGTGTCTTCCTTTTCTAGGTGGTCATGGTGCCCTTGACCAAGAAACCAAAGTCCCACCAAATGCAGCCCATGATAGATAGTTCTTTCCATTTAGCTTTTCTATGGTGATAGTAGGAGTACTAGCAATAGCAAGAGCAAGAGCAAGGCTTGGAGATGCCATAAGAAAAAGAGAAAAAACTAAGGCAAAGAGAAAGAAGATGAACAGTAATCACAATCCAAATAGCAAACCAAAAAAGTAAATTAAGGGCTAGAACAGACTTAGAAGAAGCCGACAAACCCAATGGTGGTGGTGCAACGAGGTTCTAACGAGTAAAAGGCGATGCATGAGCCACACGTGCATGATGAAACAAAAACTTTGATGGGTGCATTAGAGAATGTGGGGACTTCGATGTCCCTGAAACCATCAAGGTTGGGTTGCACTCAACAAGGCGCAACAAACCCTAAGGAAGCCGAAAAAGAATGGTTGTCAAAGTACGCCGACTAAAGACAGAGATTGTCGCCAGAAAGTGATCAATGAGACGGGACTGTAGAGCAAGATCAAACCCACTCTAATACCAACTTGAATATTGAGAGTTATAGTTTTGAGAAAAAATCAATGAGTTAAGTTTTCTACACTAATTTGTATCTTTATATATATGATCTAAATACAAATACAAAAGAAAAGACTAAAAAGGCTAAGTGCCTAAGCCATCACATTAGCATCAAAAAAAAAAAAGATTAAAAAATAAAGAAGCTTCCTTAGCAAACTATTCTAACAATGTGGAACCCACTAGAAAACACCCACCCTACAACATAAAAAATTAAAAATAAATAATTTTGTTAAAAATTAATGGAGAAAAATATTCTTTTAGTTAGCATAAAAATATTTTCATATAATTTATTTATTTATTTCACTCAATTAAACATGTAGAGAGAAGTTTCTCCATTTTTCCCCTTATTTCTATCCATCAAACAATACATATTTCCCTTCCCACTTTATTTCTCTTCTATTTCTATCCTATCTTATTTTGTTATCAATGGTAGAATTGGATCATAATTGTGAAAAAAAGTAAGAATCTTTATTGATGAAGCGTAGCTCCCAATCTTGCCCTAATGTGGATACATAACCAAGAACTAAAACTACACAAAGAACAATAAATTCCCTGGATATTGAAGAGATTCAATACTCTCCCTAGCCACAATACCAATTGATCAACCCCCTCCTCTTCTCAACCCTCTTCCTATTTATAAGCAACATCAACATGCCTTAGTTCTCTAATTATCTCAAGCCCGGGTAGGTAGAATTGGCTTGGTCATCATGCTTCAATTAGTTGCACATCAATGGAACTTCATTTCACCATAGAAGTGATTCACCTTGAGGACTAGGTGAAAGTTTAGGAGGGAGTATTGGGTAGGTAATTAGTTGTCTCATGATGAGGGAGTTAGTTAGTTAGGTCATTTGGCAGAAGAAATAAGACATGTTGCCCATAAATAAGAGGGGTAGTAAGGGAGGAATATTTTGACATTTGTGAGAGAATTGGAGCCTTTAGGCATTGGGAGGTGCAAAACCTCCCTTATTCTTTCTAATAAGATACTAGGTTTCTATCATTTGAACACACCGCTACTTTTATAGTGTGTTTGAACAAAGAATTTTAAGAGAATAATTTTATTTTTATTTTTGCGAATTTAAAATCTTTGGCATGAAATATTTTGTTTGCATAGGGTAATTTAAAATGAAATTAAAATTCTAGTAATTTGTGAAAGTATTTTGATTACTTCAAATGGTAGAATTTCAAATTCTCAAAAAAGAGTAAGAATTTGAAATTCTTCTTACCTACTCTCTCTTGTCCCACTACATATCTCTTACCTATACCTTCTCTTTATCCTTTCTCACTCTTCTCTCCCTCATCTCTCCCTCCTCTCTATAAATGTACTTAACTAGTTTCTTCCAAGTTCCAACCATATTCATTATTAACAAAAAAAATATATAAAATAGATACGTACCATTATGTAGTAAAACATGAGAGAAATGCTGGAACAAATTTTAGGCCACTCAGAATTCACAGATATTTTGTAAAGACCAATTAAATCAGCCATCCATTGAATCACACTTGGAAGCTCCACGGGAAGTTGATATACGTAAAGCAGGAATATATTAAAGACTGCATACAGCTGAAGAAGCCTCCACCACCTTTGAAACCACATGCACAGACGTAAGCCCTAGGACACTGAAAGTTTCAAATACACCTATAAATATTATGTAAAAGCATAAAGGAAACACCCAATAAAATCACCTAAAAAGCCCAAGAAAATTGCTTGTCAAAGACCAATCCACAAGACCAACACAACTACCAATGAAAAAAGGTAGTGAGGCCCATGAAGGATGACTAATTCCAACAACTAGCTGAATGGCAGGCAACAGCAAGCAAGATGCCACCCGAAGATGAGAACCTTCAATACATAAACAGAGAATTGAATGTCATTATTTGCATCAAGATGCAGATGTCAGAGTCAGAACAAAAGAATGACAATTATAAGTAAACATATTGCAGAGAAAATAGTACGGGAGTGAAAAAGGTACAACAAAACATAAAAAAGAAAGAAAGAAAATAAAAAAGATATGTTGAAAATTTTAAAGATTATAACCAGCTAACATATTACTAACCCAACTTCTAATTGGCTAAATTTGTGTATGTGATAATGTATTGATAAAACAACTATGTAATGGCTTCTGTTTTTAGGTTCTTGAGCCAGAATGTTGAGTGGTTGCTGTTTTCTTGCTTATCCACCCTCAATTTCCCCCTTGTCATGTTTCTTTCATTCTTCTTGACCTTGCATCTCTACATGATGGGTTTCTACCTCTTGGGATGCTTCCTTTTTCAAGATTTCTGCTCCTCCCAATTCGTTTCTTTTTTATATCTATTTATGACATCCTTTTGTCATCAGCTTCTACCCTTTGCTCCATTGGTTCATGGTTGTCCTCTTGAATCCAAATATCTGGATCAAATTCTGGCTGGAACTCTTTGAGCAAAGCCTTCATAAATTGCCACCATGATACACTTGGATGGTCCTCTTTCCACACATACCACTGAACGAAAGCACATCATCACATAGCCTTCCCAACACATTGAATCTTTTCTTGCTCAGTTATGCCTAAGACCTCAAAATGCTGCTCCATGTTAATCAACCATCAATAGGCTTCTTTTCCTTCAAATTCTGGAATCATCTTAAAGAATTGATAGGACAGTGTTATCTTCCTTACCTATTTGCTACCTTTATTTTTTTAAGATCCCTAAGAGTGTGATCCGTAACATTGAAAGTTTGTTTAGATCATTTCTTTGGGGTGGTTCAAGGGAACATAAAAAATTGGCTTGGGTTTATTGGAATGATATGTGTAAACCATAAAATGAGGTGGTTTGGAAAAGAATAAAATACACTAGTCCAGAAGAAAGGAAGTATTAATGGGGGAAATTGGATACAGGATTTGCAAGAAAATAAACCCAAAGTGTCGAAGGAGTAAGGATCAAATCCTCTTTTCTGGATTAGAAGACAGATGAATTGAGTCCAACAACACCAAAAGTGTAACAGCCCGATTTTTATAAAATTATATTAATAATACGTAGTATTTATTTTAATGTTTTAAGGTGTTTATTAGAAGGATTTTTAATATTATTTAGTTATTTGATACGAACTTTATTTTTATATAACACATATGCTATTTTTACTAAAAGGGAGAATTATATTTTATATTATTTATCTATTTTATGTGAGCTCTATTTTAATATAAAAATAATTTTTAATTAATATTTGGATTATTTGTTATAAGACTATTTTTATAAAAATATGTTTTATCAAGAATTATGCTTATGTTATTTATTAAAAGGAGGAAATATGTTTAATTATTTTATGAGGAGGGAAGGAGGGATGTAGTGGTCTTTTACTAAATATTAATATTATTATTATTATTATTATTTATTCTTATTATTTTTAAGAAAGAAGGTGGTCAGGAGTTATTTTCACGCTTCTCACTTTCTCTTTCTTTTCTACGCGTTGTGCTCTAAAGACTCGAGAACTATGAGGAGGAGCTCATGGGGAACCGTACACACTTCGTCTTCTACTCATCAAGGTAAGGGAAGGAGTGAGAAACCTCACTCGAGGGTGTGAAAATAATTGTTGGTGTGTATAGGAACAGACACTTTATAAAAGTTTTCTGTTTTGCTTTTTAATTATTCTATTGCGTTCCTTGTGTGATTCTAAATGTGAATATATGCTCAATTTCGAGAATAAATAAGTTTTATATGGATTAGAGTGCTCTATGGGTTCCTACGGGAAACCCTATGAGAAATAGACAAATTTTAAATGTTTTCTATTTTGGCTTCTGAGTTTTCTGTTATGTTCTTTGATGATTACTTAAAGTTTATTTTTAAGTTTGAATGTGTTTTGATATGGATTAGAGTGCTCTATGGATTCCTACGAAAAACCCTATGAGAAACAAACAAATTTTGAATATTTTTTTGTTTTGACTTCTGAGTTTTCTGTTGTGTTCCCAGATGATTATTGAGCATGAATGTATGTTTAATTTTGAGTTTGAATATGTTTTGATAGGGATTAGAGTGCTCTAAACAGGCAAAATATGAATGTTTTATGTTTTGATGTTTGAATTTTTTGTTGTGTTCCTTGATGTTTGCTGAGTGTGAATGTGTTTAATTTTGAAAATAGAAAAGTTTTAAGTCATGTTTGAAGGTGTTAATGGTGTGAGAACTGCCTTATTATTGTGTCGATGCAAGAGTTGTGTTACTATGAGCATGATGAGGATGGGAATCTCTTATATGTGACCTTATGACTATGATAATGTGATATGAGAACAAGTGACATGATGAGATATGACAAGTGAAATGTTGAGTCCATGAACATTGAATGTGTGATATGCATCTATGTGACGGGGTACAATATGGAGTACACCATTAAGGAAGACCCTTCGGGTGAAACATCTCGGAGGAGTCCTAGGGGCTAACGCGGTTTGGAAAACCCAGTTCTGCCCGTTTGTGTGCATGGGACGTATCTTGCACGACTTCGCTATTCTAACGAGACCCCAGCAGTACATCCTTCTAGTTGAGAGTGCGCGGTTGAACTGGCATGTACTCCTAAACTACTCCAGATATGTTGCTTCAGTAGCATACCACGTGATATGTGATTATGAGACACGTGACTGGCGCCACATGTATGCATTTATAAGTCAAGTCCATGACATCATTATATGATAAATGAATATGCATGTGATACTGATTGTGTATGTATATTGTTTATATGTGATTTGTGATTGTGACTTGTATTATGTTTGTTGTGTGTGTGCTGTCTAACAGTTGTTTTTGCACCTGAACCCGAGTGAGATATTTCTCGTATGTTTAAAATTGTATTACAGGTGATCATCAACAGGGGGATGTTAGTGATGAAGCTTAAGCTTCTGTATTGGCCATGCTCTGATTAGGACATGTGACACCAAGGGATAGAATAGGATGTCTTTTTTTACTTTGTAAATTGGATTACTTATATGTTATTTCGTTCATTAATTATAATTAAGTTGTCTATTTACTTAGGTGATTTTGGTTATTAAATTATTTCATTATGAAAGTATTTTAAGATGTGAATGTGAGCCTTTTACCCTTATGTTATTTGAGATGTTGTTCTAATTACTAAGATTTCTATTTACTCTTATTATTTGATATAATTGTATATTTATATGTGGGGTAGAGGGTGTCACAAAAAGAGACTAATATTCAGAGAATCCCCTATCATTTAAATCCCACAGTAAAAATTCCAGGAAACAGTTGAGTGGGATAAAACTGAATAACAAGGGAATTAGACAACAAAGAGATATGAAAGAGTCTAGAATAAGCACGAAAATGAAGATTATTAGTGTATTACCCATCCAAATATCCTCCCAAAAATTAATATTGGATTAATTACACAAATCCAATGAAATAAAAGAAGTAAAAGAACTAAAGAAGCATAGTCTTGTGATATAAACTTCCAGGAGCTAGCATGCGAATCATTGACCACAAGATTAGCATCTCATCCATTAGAATGCAAAGCATACCTCAAATAGACTTCACCTTTATCAACCAAGAAAATTTTTTCTTTTACATGACAAACAATTCAAAGAAGATTGCAGAATTAGTCGCATTAGCACACATATGACATTCATATACCAACAGTGGACATTTCATACTGCATGTTTACAACAAGTGAGTAGGAAATAAACAAGCATATCAATCAAAAGACGAGAAAAATAAACAAAAGGGTCGAAGAAACTACTTACAAACCTAAATGTTCTATAATTGATAAGAAATGATCCCAAGACAAATCTTGCCACGTTTTCAGAAAATGCCTCTTCCCATATATATCAACCAATGCAACTAGAAGAGCTAGCAGTTGTATAACCAAGAAATAAATTACATAAGGAGTTTTCCAAGACTGAACTCTGCAAGAGCACACACCAGAAACAACAAATCAGTATATTTAAACAAAGGGAAAATCAGGAAAAAATGAAAAGAAATCAATCTCTATTAGTGTATTACCCATCCAAATATCCTCCCAAAAATTAATATTGGATTAATTACACAAATCCAATGAAATAAAAGAAGTAAAAGAACTAAAGAAGCATAGTCTTGTGATATAAACTTCCAGGAGCTAGCATGCGAATCATTGACCACAAGATTAGCATCTCATCCATTAGAATGCAAAGCATACCTCAAATAGACTTCACCTTTATCAACCAAGAAAATTTTTTCTTTTACATGACAAACAATTCAAAGAAGATTGCAGAATTAGTCGCATTAGCACACATATGACATTCATATACCAACAGTGGACATTTCATACTGCATGTTTACAACAAGTGAGTAGGAAATAAACAAGCATATCAATCAAAAGACGAGAAAAATAAACAAAAGGGTCGAAGAAACTACTTACAAACCTAAATGTTCTATAATTGATAAGAAATGATCCCAAGACAAATCTTGCCACGTTTTCAGAAAATGCCTCTTCCCATATATATCAACCAATGCAACTAGAAGAGCTAGCAGTTGTATAACCAAGAAATAAATTACATAAGGAGTTTTCCAAGACTGAACTCTGCAAGAGCACACACCAGAAACAACAAATCAGTATATTTAAACAAAGGGAAAATCAGGAAAAAATGAAAAGAAATCAATCTCACGTCATAAAACCAATCAACTTTGCCCACCAAGCATCTGGTACACTCCATGACCTTGGCTTAACAGCCCATATTACCAGATATGTCACTTGAGAAAGTATTGCAACTACAGAAAAGATAACAATTGGCCACAGTAACAAAAACCTCCTGCGGATATGAAATCCTACAACAAGAAAACAGCATTAGTAGTAATTAAGCATAACTGTTAAAGACAACATGAATGAGTCGAACCATAGTATCCAGCATAGCACTAGGCAGTATCAACATCGTCAACCCATATGAATAGCTCTCTATAATTGTTATCACAAGGACTAAGTTTTTAAGAGCCAGGAACATAATAAACATAAACATTCAAAAGGAGATCTACCAAGTCATCCTTCAAATAGAAGCAATGACAACTCTGTCAGAATGAATTCTATGTTTTAATACAAAAATAAAGGGATGTGATTCATAGGTTGGCAAAACTATATCATCGATTGTTCCTTATTCTTACTTTTATTTGGTTTATGTTTTTTGAAATTGCATATGGACTACATTCCTTACTGAATATATGGAATAAAATGTTGGGAGGAACTCAGTCTGAAGATAATTTGGGTAGAGACACTTGCCTAACAAATAACTATTTTAAGCATTAAAAAAATGATTGTATAAGAGGTAAATTCACTGTTAATCTGTAATATGCAGATGACAAGTAGAAATTGTCCAACTATCCAATAGCAGAGAGAGAGAGAAAAGAATTTTCTTCTATGTAAAATTCTTGTGGTGAGGACATCACTTACACATTATGGTAAAATATCAAAATTATATTCTAATGTTTTGAGAAACAATAACTTGGAAACCAAACAGAAAAACTAAGCAGCTTACCTATTTGTGATACATTGTACAGAATGAGAAGAAAGGCTATCAAATCAACAAGAGAGATTAAACTCCAATTGATTAAAGCAGCTGCAATAAAGAAAAGCATGTAAACATCAGCACATACTTTCAACAGTGGAGTACATATCTCATACATGTGTCTAATCTACATAAACGAACCTGAAGTAATATAAGAAAGGTAATTCAAAAAAATAAAACTACATCTTATATTCTTCTTTTTAATGCTAGTCAGTCTAATAACAATCTTCCTTTTATATCTCTCAAGACTCCAAGAAATAAAATCACACAGTATATATGTGGATACTCAATAATAGCTACTGCCTACACTCTCACTTCAAAATCAATCACAAATGATTAACTTTAACTTACAAGATTTTACGGCGATTATAGTATAGTTAGTCCTAAATCTTCAAATGCAATTTAGTTTTTTTACTACATGAATTTCAATAGGTTGCAAATAATAACAGCAGTAAACCAAATCAATCAGTAATGACGAACAACAATACTTATGCTGAATGGAAACTATTAAAGTCAACTTAGCACATAGTAATATACAGTAAGTTTTAACAACAAAAATTAAAACCAATCCAACTTACAAGCTCACTCTTACTTTGTTGAGAAAACACAAATTGCAATGCACAATACCTGATAGAAGCAGCGAAGGCAGCACGAAGCCAGAGAGAAATTTCCCCATTGGATTCGGATGCAACACGCGGCGATCACATCGAGATTCAAATCAATCAGCTGGTAGGAGATTCAATCCTTCCTGCGCGAAGAGAGTACTTTCCGGCGCGGAGAGAAAAATTCGCCGGAAACTACCGCCAACTCGAGAAAACCGAAATGTTGCTTTTCTTTTCTTCGCTCTGAAGTTTCAGTTTCAGCCCCTTCTCTGGGTAAGATGCTCACATTTGATCGATAATTTTCTAAACCAGAAGATAGCAAAAATTAATAAACATTAAAATAAATAAAATGTTTAAGGAAAGTAATAATCGAATTTAGATATTGGAGGAAAAAAAAAACGAAATCGTGCTACCACGAGGAGAAGGAAAGGAAACATATTTTTGCTGAAAATCTAAGACCGGTGTAAATAATAATGCGACTCTCCATGCTGCGTTTGTCCAATGGGAAATTTTCTTTTTTAAAAATAAATGAAAATTGTTTTTTTCCCTTCTCGGGCTTCGCAATCACGTCGCTTATGCCTGAAGCCGGCTCATGTGTCAGCATCAGTGGCGGGGTAATATGGTCATTTCAGACATTTTGATTTTGGTGCCATTGCCTTTCAAAAACCATGACTCGTGGCGCTCAACAAAATTTTATCGCACGCAACTCATTATTTTTTTTTCCTTTGGTACAAAAAGGTTTACGGAATATTCTATTGCCGGTGATAAACACACCTCCACTCTCATATAAACACACCTCCTTTTTAAAAAAAAAATATAAAATGTCTAAATTACCCTTTAAAAAAAATGAAATTCTTAAATTTACACCTCCCTTCCCCACCCTCCTTCCCCGCACCCCACATTTCACACCCCTCTTCTTCCCAAAGCCTTTTTCCGCTCAATGTTATTAAGCAATATACTTTTACAGTCATTCTGAATAGAAAAAAAGGACTAGTCCCACCATAATCAGCATAAGAAAGGTTCTTTTACGGTCATAGCATTTCGAAAAGTACTTTTACAGTCATTAGCATTCCGGAAAGTACTTTTCGGAATAGAAATTATTGTTCATATAATTCCGGAAAGAACTTTCCGTAATAGTAACTTTAATATTATGGAAAATACTTTCCGGAATTATATAACAAAATATTTCCGGAAAATACTTTCCGGAATAAGAATTTAATATTATGGAAAGTATTTTCCGGAACATTTTTATATAATTCCGGAAAGAACTTTTCATAACAGTAAGAAGAAGAAGAAGAGGAGTGCCAGAAAGAGAAAGAAGAGGGGTGCGCAATGTCGGCAAGTGATTTTGTATGAGAAAAATTCTTACTTGTTCTATGAAAAGAAAGATTAGTACAAAAATAACTTTTAAAATCGGGGTTTTAAAATCAGTCATAAGGTAGCCATTTTAAAAGTGACGCGGTGGCCTGTACTGCAACAGAACGGCCCCAGAACGGCCCTTGCTGCAAGTAGAACGGCCCTTGCTGCAAGCAGAACGGCCTGTACTGCTTGCAGAACGGGCCGTACTGATTGAAGAACGTGACGTACTGCTTGCGGAACAGGGCGTACTGAAAACAGTACGGCCCGTTTTGCTGCAGAACGGCCAGCACTGAAAATAGAACGGGCCGTATTGCAAGCACTACGGGCCGTTCTGCTTGCAGTACGGCCCGTTCTGCTTGCGGGGAAGGGGGTGCGAAGAAGGAGGGGTGTAAATTTAGGAATTTTTTTTTTTAAGGGTAATTTAGACATTTTATATATATTTTTTTAAAAAGGGGGTGTGCTTATAGGAGAGTGGAGGTGTGTTTATCATGAGCCATATTCTATTGTTAACCTGCCAGTCTTCAACAATCCAAAGCAAAATCAAAAAAAAAAAAATACATAAATAATAATAATAATAATAAATCAACAGCACAAATTACAAAGTGTTTTTTTTTTATTACGTTAGATTATATAAAATTATATTAAATTATAACATAACGTGACTTTGGGTGTTTAGTTTTATATTAAAAAAATAATTATAGATCTATCATTAATTTAAAGTTTGAGCAACTTCAAGTAAGTTTTACTTTGAATAAAAAAATTATCACGAGTTTTACTATTAATTTGCATTTATAATAAAAATATTTAAGCATTACATCACATCAAAATTAATTTTCAACTGAAATATTTTTATTTAAAATTAATTTTGTAGATGTTCATATGAATATACACAAAGTTTCATGGAATACGAGATACAAGTGTGAACAAATAATGAGGTTTGTTTTACGAGTAACAAATAATGAGTTTAATTTGAATGTACTGTTATTATAAATAAAAAGTAATAAATTAATAAATAGGTATTAATTAATTATAATATTTAATAATATCGATAATCTTTCTTGCTTAAATAAAAAGATCAACTTCGCCATAAATTATTTATGTAATAACTTTTTTTCTATATTATTTGCAGACAATAGATCCTCTTCATAAATCATAATATTATTTTTAAAAGGGATTTCCTAAACCAAATATTAATTATAACAAATTAATATTATAATAACATAATAAAACATTAATTACATTAATTCTTAATTATGAGCAGTTTTAAAATGAAAATAAATCGTAAATTAAACTTAAAAAATCACAAAATTTAAAAAAAAAATCGATTATAGGAAACGTAAAAATAAAAAAATAAATAAATAAATAAATATAAAAAATAAAAAAAACATGTGATATAAATAAGAAAAAAAACTTTGATAAATTTCCTTTCGCAAAATTCACGTAAAAAATATTTCACATATAAGAACTTATAATGGAAATTTACATAAAAGAATTAATTATAGAAAATTAAATTTTAATACTATAATAAAATATTAATTTAAATAATTATGGGCAATTTAATATAAACATAATAATTTAAAAAAATTATAATAAAAAAAACTTCTATTTCCTTCCAAACATTTTCTAAAACATTTTCTCTTTGAGATTTCTCACAAAAAAAAATTTATAGAAAATTGAAATTGTAACAACATAATGAAATAAAACATTAACTATATTAATTATTAATTATGAGAAATTTTAAAATAAATATAAATAAATAAGCAAAATTAAAAGGGAACATCTTCTGAAGTATTATTTCCTTTTAAACATGTGATATCCTATTTTTCATAAAATATTATATAAGTATTTAATTAATAATTTTGATATTTTTATTTTAATTGAAAAGAGTTATTTAATATTTATTTTAATTGTTTGGTATTTTTAGAATATAATATAAAGTATTTTTATTAAAGATTTTAATTAAATGTTTTATTTTAATTAATTTATAGGAAAAATAATTAGTAACTAAAGTTTGGTATTTTAACTACGGGAGGGTTAAAAAAGGATTAAAATTTTAAAATGAGAGTTTTAATCAATTGTTACGCGTTTTTCAATTTTATGTATGCACTTTTCTTTTTACACTTAGAGCTTGAATATTAAGAGAAAGAGAGAAACAACCTCAAAGTTGATCATCCATATTTTTATGTTTAGCAAGGTAATGGAGAGTGAGAAACCTTACTATGAGTGTGAAATTGTATGTTGGATAATGAAGTTGACTCCCAATTTTATGTATGATGTATGCCTATGTATGAGGGATTTCCTCTAATGCTTGTGTTTTGCTATGTGTTCTTCTTACTCATAATTAATGGCATAAATTGTTTGAATATATGATCAATTATATGTTTTGGGTTGTAGTTGTATGATCTAAGATTATTGTGGGTTCCTATGCAAAACCTTAAGAGAACTTGTTGTGATAGTTTTTGAGACTATTGATTAATGTGTAAATTGAGTTATTTAAAGTGTTAATTGCATGTTATAAAGCAATTTATTGATTGTACATGTATTTATGCATGAAATTGGATGTGGGGTAACTTGTAGTTGTTGAGGAGACGTGATTTCTAGGGTGGAAGATCACATTCTTGCTCAGCGAGGCGTGCAAGGTCGTTCAGCAATAAGTCATAGGAAGCTTAACTCGCTCAACTAGATGTTGGTTGCTCAACAAGAAGCCTAAAGGGACTCAACTCACTTGGCCAGATGTTAGTTGCTCAATGAGAAGTCCTAGCTCGCTTAGCTAGATGTTGGTGGCTCAACTAGATGTTATTCACTCAACAAGAGACTTTAGGGAGCTTAGCTCGCTCAACGATTGTTAGATGGTTGTTTTATCCTTATGATCTTTATATTACATTTTTACTAATGATTATTTGATGTATTTAAGAATGTACATGAGATATATGAGGTGATACGAGGAATATTTGATATGTGAAGTGAAATCATGTGTATATTATTGCATTGAGTCTATTTGACATGCATCATGTGCATAATTTTTTTTAAAGGGTATGGTATGAAATACATCACCAGAAAAAAAGGTCCCTTGTGTAAAAGTTTGAGAACCAATCTTGAGGATAGCTCAGGTTGAAAGTTGCATTCTTACCCTCGTGAGCATGGGATGTATCTTACGGAACTTAGTTATCTCGACTAGACCTTGGTTATATGTCATTGTAGTGAGAGTGTGACTCGGCATATACTTCTAAACTACTCTATTTGTATTGCTAACGACAATGCACAAGTGTAATATATGATGTTTTACTAAATGTCACATACATGATAGCATGTAGTTTGTGTTCGTTGCATAATACATTATAATGTAACTATTATTATTTATTGTGTTATGACTAAATGACTATGGTTATAATATTTGTAAGATATTTATCACTCCTTTTGCTCTGTGTTATTTTCCTTGGTTGTTTATGTAGGTAATCATCAACATGAGGTTAAAAATGTTGGTGATGAAGCTTGGACTTTAATATTGAGTTTTACTCTGATAGAACATATAACATCAGAACATAAAACAATAGTTTTATTCTCTTACAATTTTATTAATTATATTATTTAGTTAAGTTTAAAATATGATACATTTAACCCCAAGCGTGTGGTTCAGCAGTAGATCCACGATTAAGCAAGATTGGCGATAGATATTTCAGGAACGAACCTAAAAAAAAACAAATATGATACATTTTACATGAACACATTTTGTTTATTTGTAAAGATCATATTATTCACTTTTTTATTTAATTACTTATGTTTTATGACATGTAAAGTAGAGGGTGTCACAAAACAAATAATTTACAAAATATTATTTAATTTCCTTTGAGATTTTCTCAAAAGAAAAAATAATTATAAGAAATTGAAATTATAATAACATAATAAAACATTACTTACATTAATTATGAATTATGAATAATTTTAAAATAAATATAAACAAAAACAATTACACTATAATTTTTTTCATAAGATTCACATATACAAAATTTTAATGGACGCTGTAATGAAAATTCTCGTAAAAATGTATATATCTATCCAAAATTTCTTACCAAAAATATTATTTCTATAAATTTAAAACTATATTTATTATAAATGGTATAACAATAAGAATCA